GCGGTTGCATCTCCCACTAATGATGCTAAAGTGGTGGTCAAGCTCTCCAAAAGAGTAATTTTCCCAAGGTTCGGGGTGCCGCGAGCCGTTATTAGTGATGGAGGTTTACATTTTGCAAAGCGGTCCTTTCAAGCTCTCCTTGAGAAATATGGTGTGAGGCACAAGTTATCATTGGCTTACCACCCCCAAACAAGTGGTCAAGGTGAAATTTAAAATCGGGAGATAAAACTAATTCTTGAGAAAACGGTGGATAGGTCTAGGAAAGATTGATCTACAAAGCTTGATGATGCTCTATGGGCCTACCGCACCACATTTATAACTCCCATTGGCACCACACCATACAAGCTTGTTTATGGGAAATCATGCCATTTGCCGGTAGAACTTGAGCATCGTGCTCATTGGGCCATCAAAACATTTAATTTTGACCTTCAAAGTGCCGGTGAAAAGAGGTTGCTTGACCTCTATGCCTTGGAAGAATTAAGGTTGGATGCATATGAGAGTACGTGCGCGGATTTACAAGGAAAAGACCAAGGTTTGGCATGACAAGCACATTAGCAAAAGCGAGTTTAAAGAAGGTGACAAGGTCCTACTATTCAATTCCCGGTTGAAGTTGTTTCCGGGTAAGCTCAAGTTAAGATGGAGTGGACCTTTTACCGTTAAGAAGGTGTTTCCATATGGTGCTATTGAAATCTCAAACGACAATGGTGAACCGTTCAAAGTGAATGGCCAAAGGCTAAAGCCATACTTTGACGGTTTTGTGCCTGAAGAAGCCAAGGTTGTTCACCATGATGAGTTTGATGTTCATTCCTCTCATTGATCACGCAATGTCGTCAAGCTAGTGACGTTAAAAGAGTGCTTCCGGGAGGCAACCAGAGTTTCTACACCCTCTCTCTCATAAACTATTATTTCTTTTCCAAAATTTTTATTATTATTACTAACTTTTCTCATAATATCTTTTGTAGGTATTGATGAAAAGAGTAGCAAGAAAAATATTCATGGATTTGAAGTAGTAGGCTTAGTAATAATCATAATAATGGTGATAATAATAATTTTATTATTATTATGCCTTATTATTATTATTATCTAGAAAAAAAAGAGAACGTGCAGCATCAGGTATGCATAGACGTGCAGAACATCGCACGTCCGTGCAGCAGCAATCAGGAACTTAAAGAGTGAATTTTTCCAGATAAGCACGGATGTGCCAAATTCAGCACGTCCGTGCAAGGTGGCTCAGCACGTCCGTGCCAAACAAGTCAGTAACCTACCCAAGTTTCTGCTCGAGGCTGCACGTCCGTGCCAAAGTCTGCACATCCATGCAGCCCCGAATTAAGCAGTCAGCATCATGGTTATATTGTTAAAATAAAAAATTCTCACTTCCTCATAACTCAATCCCACAAATTCCCCTCTCTCTCTCTCTCTCAAACTCCATTACTCCTCCTCTAAACTCACTCAAATTCACTCAAACCCTCAAAATCCCACCAAAAATCAACATTTTTCCCCAAAATCTTCACTCCATTTTAACAAAATCACAATCTACTACTCCATTCTCCTTCTTTAAACCCAAATAAAATACCCAAAATTTCAAAACCCTAACCCTTAAAAATCAATTTGGGGGTTTTCTTGTGAGCTTTAAATTGAAGCAATTGGGTGTTGTAGTATGGTCAAGCAAGCATAAGGAAGGTTAGAAAAGTTCATTTGCGGGTTTTACACCCACGATAAGCTCTGTATAATTGTTCCTCCATTTCACTAATTTTGTGTTTAAATTCTTGAATTTTTGCATGAAATTGCTTGAGAATGTTTGTTTGAATTGGTTGTGAGTGATTGTTAGTTGATAATTGCAAAGTATAAGTGAATTTTGAGGTGTTTTGTGAATGTTGTGAGAATTGGATTTTTGTAATTTAGATTGAGGAATTATTTTTTGTGAATGATAAAAGCATGCTTGGTTGAGTAAGTTGTTGTGTTAGATTGTTTAAGGTTAATGCATGATATTAGTGTCGAATTATTGTGAATGCATTAGTGAAGTGGACTTAGTTGCTTGGTGATTTGCTCGTTTTATTTTAAGGTAGTGACTTAGAGCTTGACTTGGTGATTGTGTTGTGCTTATTGGTGCTTGATTAAGCCTTGAGTTGTTGTCTTAGTGGACCTAGTGCCTCCTGTGTGTTTGTTGTGTTGATTGCTTGGTTGTGGTGTGTTTAATTGCCTTGTATAAAGACCAACCATGAGCAAAAGAAACCAGGTCGGATGCTAAGTACTGTAACCCCTCTCCTCCTCCTCTCATTGATCCACCACAAGTGGACACCATGGGAATTGAGTTCAACGAAATGACCTTTTTGAACAACTTTATTAGAATGAGTAGGAGGAGATTCCGACCAACCAAGTTCTAAGACGAGAGTGTTGCCGAGGCCTTAGGGGTAGGGGATGATGTTAGGATGCTTTTCAAGGGACGTGGCCTAGGGAATTGGCTAGACTTAAGCGCCCCGACCTACAAGAGGTTGACACTTGAATTCCTTTCCACCCTTCAAGTGCAACGATACAACAATAGATCCCCCGCCGCCTTACCTTCCAACTCGTGAACACCCAACACAACATAAACATAAGGAGGGCGAATCAATCTTTTGGGTGGCCAAGTAACAGCACCATAGGACCAAAGGATAGGCCCCCCCGTAACTATTGTGCGGGTGAATTTTGGAGGAAGATCACTGGCCTTTTCGACTACAACCCTAGGACTGATAAGGCCAGGCCATACTCCACCCCTCCTTTAGGATGTCACATCGCACCATAGCAAACACGACGTTTTCTAGAGGTGATAGTTCGGGTGTAGTGTCCACTAGGGAGCTTCACTTCATGTGGCACTTGAGCGAGGGTATTACGGCCCTAGATGAAGGGTCTTGGTTAGTCGACCACCTAGAGGATTTTGCCACTAGGTCCGGCAACATCACCATAGGTGGCATGATCACCATTATTACTTCTGCTCATAACCTTGATTTTGCAGATGAGAAGGTTCGCCAAGGGCCGACGCAGCTAGACTTGTAATCGCTAAGGACCATGAGATAGATTGTGGACGCGGAAGCGCCACATCCTTACTTGTGGCACGTGAGTGGCCTCCCCTATGCCTTCCTTCCCGACCCAGAGAAGACCTTCATTTATGATGAAAGCTATTAGGTCTTTGAGAGGGATCATCCTTGGGTTCCCGGTGAATAGGAAGAAGAGCATGAGAAATCTCAACAACAAGAGGTAGAGCAGCAGCAAGACCAAGAGCAACAACAACAACAATTCCAACAACAACAATTCCACCAACAACAATTCTTTCAACAACAACAACATGAGCAACAACAAGGGTACTAACAAGGGTACCAAGGTCAAGGTGTGGGTGAGGACAACCCACACCTCTCTTTCGAGCAGCAGATACAACTCATGAATGCCGGTTTCACCCGCATGACCACTGAGTCTAAGACTATGAGAAAGTCTCACGAAGACATGAGGTCCTCCTACAACAACATGAGGACAAGATTTGAGGGTTTTCGATCGGAATTGGGTGAATTCCGAAATGTCTACCGGCATTAGTACCCCGGGGGCTCAAGCTCCCAAGGAGGCCCGAGCCAATGAGTTAGTTCTCTTTCTCCCCTTTCTTATGCTTTAATTATTTTAACATTGGGGACAATGTACATGATAACATGGGGGGAGAGTCATTAGCCCATATGTTTGTGCTTTCTTGTGTGTTGTTAATGTTGAACTTGCATGTTGATTGTTCTTTTCCCTAAATCAAAATCCCTTGAATCCAAAATTGCTCCCTTTGAAATCCAACACCCTAAATCCAAATATCTTAATTTGTGAATACTTTTCCTCCCTCTCTTTATTTAGATGTCTATTTATGCTTAGCTTAGTTTAGCTCAACTTTATAATTATTCTTTCTCGAAAAAATAAAAAATAAAAATAAATTATGAAAAAAGGCTCAAGGATGAGACTCAAATGACGATGCTTATATGTTTTTCTTGCTTGACTCTTGAGTGATGAGTAAAAGTGCTTTTAGAAGGGTGTGTGCAAGAGTTGGGGTCATTTAGAGGCTTATTAATCTTGATTGCATTAGAGTATATGAAATGAAAACCGAATAATGCTCAATTACACGTCTACCATAGGATATTTTCAAGTTTTCCCAAAGTAGGATATGTTTGAATCAAATTGCGGTCCCTTGTGCCCTTGATGTTACTCCCCTCCTCCCCAAAATGAAACTCTATTAGGGAATTCGTTCTGCTTGTATCATTTGTAATAAGTGGCATAATAAGCCACATGTTTTGAATAAAGAAAGAGACGCTCACAATTAAAAGAGGCGAGGGCAATGTTTGTTGAAAAAAAATGAACAAAAAAAGAAAAAAAAAAATAGAAAAAGAAAGAGAGAAAAAAAACTCCTACAAAATTTTTCTTTTTCTAATTTAGAGGTCAACTTGTGGATGCCTCCCACACATTATTTATTTTGATGTTTCTTGAGTAAATTACCGAGTTAGAGTGTAGTTGAAGGGGCTTGGGAGTGCATTTTGGGAGGTGGACTTGCATTTTAGGATTTTATAACTGAAAGAGGGCTTGTTGCAACTTTGGAATATCTAGACGTGCTCTAATAAACTAGTAAAAGGTATAAGGAAGTATCCTAGTGCAACCTTGCTTAGTTCTCCTCTCTACCCTCAACTCATATGCACATTTGTATGATCGGTAATCTATCCTTGAAATTTGCTCACTTGTCTTGCTTGTGATTTATATCCCGATGAGTTGACTTCACTAGTAGAAAAATGCTCATTTGCGTCGCCTTATTTGCGTCACCCATAGAAACAAATGACGCAAATGAGATATTTTGACAACATTATCAGTAATTTGCGTCGGACATTTGTTACAAAGCGAAGCAAATGTCTGACATATTTCAACTTACTTATATATACGTCGCTTTTATAAATAGGAGTGACGCAAATAACATTGTCATTTGCGTCACTCGTTTATTAACAAGCGACGCCACCTTTGTGAGTCATTTGCGTCACTCGTTTATTGACAAGTGACGCAAATGACTATTACGGCTTACATAAATTGTGGCTGCCTTCTGCTGTTCGAACTTCAATACTTCAAAAATCAAACCCTAGAAAATTCAACCTACCCCAAAATTTCCAGAAATTCAACATCAAAACCCCAAAACATTACAAAAATTTGACCATTAATCAATAATCCCAGCAAATGTGAGGCAAAACCCCTTATATTCGAGCAAATCCGAGCCAAAATACCATACTTTTGAGCAAAAAATCTACCCAAAACCCCCACAAAATTCAATTGCAGAAAATCGAGCAAATTACCTTAAATTTCAGCAAAATATCAATTGAAAACTCAAATCAAAAGCAAGTTAATATTGTCCTAATAAAATCCTAGATTTTTTTACAAAAAAACCAAGCATAATTGTGAGAAAACTTAAGTTTGAGTTTTGAATTTTGGGTTTTTTTTTGTTCTACGATTGAAACAGAGTTTACACACAGATCTAAGGAAGGAAGTTGGATTTTCGTTCAAATTAGGAGCAATTTGTTACGATTCTCTGAAAGTTAGGGTTTGTACTCAATAATATGGAATTTTGGCTCTATTGTTGCTGAAGTTGCATATGCAAAATCGATTTCAAGCAAGGTAAGACCTCTTCATCTCTTTTCTTTTTTATCGTGCACTTCAATCGACATAGATATTTGGAGTTCAATTGTAAATTAATTTAGTTTAATCTACTATTTTGTTGCTGTTTTTTGCACGAATTCTAGATTTACAAGCATTTTTATAAATAACAGCTTTTTGGGGGTTCATATTCGAATTTAGGGTTCATCAAATGCAATATATATTGCCCACAAATCAAAGAAATTTAGGATTTATACTCGATTCTAAGGAATTTTGGTTCTATTTTGGTGAATTTATGTAGTTGATTTCAACCAAGGTAAGATATGTTATGTGTTCTTACTGTTTTCTGATTTGAATTTATTCTAGTTATAAAGCCATCAAGTCACCACAATTTGTTTTCTGATTCGAAATGCCTATGCAACAACAGTAACAACGCAGGACAGTCTCTGGTGTTTTACTAACTCTAGTGTATAACTTAATATGGACAATTGTTTGTGGTGGTCAGATCAGTTCCTTTTTATAATTCATATTATTTACACAAAAATTCCAAGTTATGTAAAAAATTATAGAAAAATCAGCCTATCAGGACAAACCACCTAAGATAAACAGAAATATGAGCAGATCAAGTATTTGCCAAGATAGAAATACCTTAAGAAACTTGCAGACCGGAATAGAGTCATTATAGATAGATAGAGACTCTAGGCACGGTGCAAGCCAAAGAAGAGCCTGAACAAGTTCAACTTGAGTATACTTTAGTAATTATGAACGAAGCTGCACCACCAAGTTTTCATACTAGATTGAATTAAGGGTTCAATTTTGGGTGAACTTAGTTTAATTTTACTATTTTGTTGTATTTTGTTGATTATGTTGTTATCTTGAGGTTTTTCATAATTCATGTGGTTGTTTGAGTTGGAAGAATGGTCATTCAAGTTCTTGTGAATCTACATGGTTTTTAAAGGAGAGTGGAGCCTTTCCCCTGTAGCTTTATGCTGTTAGCTGTACTGTGATGTGTGATGCTGTGATCTTCATATTATAATATCCAACTAGCTATATTATTGAAAACTTTTAACCACAACTGTGAAGCGCAGTTCTTCCTCAATTGGTCCATCATGTTATCGATTTGGCGATAACACGCCCTTTCAAATTTAAAATTATGGTTTTTCTGGAAAGATGCTTATGTAGAAAGGTTTTTGCTAATTTTTTCATCTCTATTTTGAGTAGCTATATTTGAGGTTGAATGATGCTTGTAACTTTGTCTATTTGTTTCACTTTTATGGGCATTATTACGTATAGAGTCAGATATGCATGTGCTTGGCATTCATGCTTATATTTTTGTATATGGTTCCTTTTGAAAAGATGCATGTATTTTGTTGTCCTTACATATTAGTTGTTTGCACTGTTATTTTGTTAAACAATATATTATTTGAAATCAAAATCAGAATCCAAAGCAGAACATATGTTTTTATACTTAATGTTGAAATCTGATGCCTTAATTTGACATGTGTCTTTGCTTATTATTGGAAAGACCATATTACACTTTTGTAATTGGAAATTGTTAGCATCCTATTCTCGAAACTAAGGATTCATTTGATACAATCCTCCACTAGTATACTTAATTAGAGGAACAACTATTAGTATTTTTCTTGGAAAGGTAATGTAGTTGTTTAAATAATTGTAGAATATTATTTTGTTGCTTTGATGCTTCATTCTCAACTCTGATTGTTTATTGATTCATTATATTTGATTTCAGGAGCTGGTGAATTTAAATTATTTGCAAGAGAAAAAGGAAGTGGACTTCCATTAAGGACTTGTTCGTGTTAGGGAAAATGAAGATATTGTCCCTAAATTGAATTATACTAGCTTCAAATTCCATATTATTTATTGGATTCTTTTGTTATAGTTCTTAGGCTTGAAATGAACGCATTTGGTTTACCAACATTTGGGTTGGTCTGGTGCTTGTGTTATTAATGATGAAGATGTCAATATTGTTCTGTTGTAAACTTATTTGACAGGTTGCTAATACAAGGCGCCGTCAATCCCAAATTAATGGATAGGCCAAAATACAAAGGAAATTCTGTCGAAATTTGTATTTGATCTTATTATTTTTATTATGGTTTTTTTGTCTTGCACTATTGTATAATATCATATATGAAGGGATACAATTGGCAAATTATAATGTTGTTTTAATGTGGATTAAAAAATTTGTCTAAGAAGCGACACAAATAGCTCATTTTCTCTTCCTTAAACCAGTCATTTGCGTCACTCATTTATTAAAGAAGTGACGCAAATAATAGAATATATGTTATTAAAAAGAGTCATTTGCGTCACTCGTTTATTAAAGAAGTGACGCAAATAACAAATATAAGTTACGAAAAAAAGTCATTTGCGTCACTCATTTAACAAACGAGTGACCTTATTTGTGTCGCTCATTGGAGCGACGCAAATGACTCAAAAGTCATTTGCGTCGCGAGCAGTTGCGTCGCTCATAGAAGTGACGCTAATACAGCCTAAATGAGCGACGCAAATGAATGTTTTTGTACTAGTGCTTGGGCAATAAAAACATTGGTTTTGGTGTGTATTGATTACTTTGATGATAATGATGTTTTGATAGTTTTGGCGTGGTTTGTGTAAGTTGTGGGTTAAGCTTAAGGGAAACCCTCACGAGATAAAAACTCGTCCTCTTAGGCGACTTAGGGGTTTAAGTTGCTTTTCACTTGTGCTAAAAGTGTTTATGGTTGTTGCCATGCGGATTAGTGTTTGTGTTTCCTCTTTAGTATCTCTCCTTGGTTTGATAATTAACAAGTAATCTTCCTTCTTGAATTGACATTTTTGTTTTGCTCGAGGACTAGCAAAAGCTTAGCCTGGGGGGATTTGATAACTTGTTATTTGATATGATTTTAGAGTAATTTTGAACCTTGTTTACTTAGTATACTGGCATTTTCGTTCGCTTCAACTCTATTTTTGTTCAACTTTTGTGTATCCCTTGCTTCACGGGTTGTTAGTATTTTTGTTGAGTTTTTAGATTCAAAGACGATCATTTAAGGCATATAAATGATAAACCGAGGTTAGAAGCCGAGACAATGGAGCAAAAACGAAGAAAAGTGAAGATAAGGATCTTAGAGAGTCTGCACGGACGTGCAAAGTATGGCACGTCCGTGCAGGAGTGCCTCAGCACGACCAGAAGCTACTGCCTACTACTTTCAAGATTTGCACGCCCTTGCAGAGTTCAGCACGTTCGTGCAGAATATCTAGCACGTCCGTGCCTTATCCTTCACGTCCGTGCAGCTTGCCCAGCAAAAATCAGTTTCAAGACTGATTCCATTGTACAAGGCATGCACGTCCGTGCCACATTTGGCACGTCTGTGCAAGATCCCCAGGCTAAGACAGTAAGTTCTGCCTCTCTTCTTTCAGAGGTGCACGCTTGTGCCTACCTTAGCACGTCCGTGCGGATATAGCTGCACATCCATGCCAACCTCAGCACGTCCATGCTGACCTGTAGTCGTGCCCGACTCTTGTTTTCTCCGTCTTTTTTATTTGGGGGTCTTCATAAATAACCCCTTGAGCTCATTTGTACGGCCTCCAAGTTTTTAGTGCTTCCTCTTAGTTTGTAATTGTAGAAACACAAATATTCTCAAATCATTAGTTAGATTATAATTAATAGCTTGGAAATTTCATTATCAATCATTGTAGAAGACAAGTTCCACCATTGTTATTCAAGTTTAAGCTTCTAGTAACTTTTTCTCACTCTTCTGTTCCATTTTAATTGTTTTGATTATTAATTACCTTGCTTAATTCTTGTATGCTTATATTGTTATTTAGCTTAATCTTTGATTAATTCTTGTTCATGAGTTACTTGAAATCATCAATTGCTTTAATCTCCATGGATTGTGAGTAGTCTAATTTTCTAGGGTTTAGGTAAAACCCTCAATGTAGTCACTAATTACTTGTTGCATGTGTTAATTTGGTAATGTTGGGTGTTAATTAGTTGAGCTTAAGTGTTTTAATTGCTTATTTCTTGTATATGGCCATTTCTAGAACTATTATCTAAGCTTTCTCAATGAAGGATTGAGAGATGAACTTGAGTTAGCTCCCTTATGCTTAATTGACTTGAAATGCCATGAGAATAGGAATTTCCAGTCAAGGGAATGTTTTTGTCATCGTGATTATGTTTTAATACTTGTTTTATGCTTTATAACCACGAGAGTAGGTTGTATTTATGATTTTAGTATTCCCTCTAGCTTGAGAGAGTAGTTAGGTGCTTTAGATGACTTCCCCTGTATTATCCCCTTAATTTACCATTGTTGCTACATGTTATTTGTGATTTGTGACAAAGTTGAGTGGTATATCCCGAGCCCTAGAATCCTCTAAATATTGTTAATCACCCCTTAGTATTAGTTGATTGGAATTAGTACATGTTACATAAAACCAAACCAATTTCGACTTCATTTAGCTTATTTAAACGGTAGTATCTCGGTGGTTGATTCAACGCCTCTCTTGGGTTCGACCCTTTCTTACCCTTGCTATTACCTAGTGAGACCAAGATAATACTTTATCTTTGGTAGGCTCAACGACGGCCTATCACTAGTTCCTTGATTTATTTAACTAAGGGTTATTTTCATCAATCTTTCCATGTGGGATCTTTTTGTGAAAAAGTCCAACATTGAAAGATGATTAAAATTCACAAGATATCTGTCCTTATAAATAGTCAAAGCATGGCTTGAGAGTTCGTTGCTTGAGTAGGAGTTCAATAGATCAATGCATTTTCAAAAACTCTTAAACTCGTATAATACTCGGGTTTTGGTCGGACCTCGCTAACCTCGAGGTAACGAACCTGAAAGTCGGTAGTCATTTTTAAGGGTGGATCTTCGTCGGAGGCTCTCGTGTTTTCGGGGTTAAGCTTTCAAGTAAGAGCCCATTCGGTCGGGCGAATCACGCTCCAAAAGGTAATCATTTTATCTTAATCTTGTGTTTAATTTAATTATGTTTATGGTTTTATTTATTGCGAGTGCGCTCTTGTTATCAGGTTTGTTTCCGTGGTGAGTCGGACTCACCAAACCCTAACATTAATGCCCTCCCCCAATATGTGACTCAACCTCTTGGTCAAAAGGACTTTCCCAAAGGTTGTAATGCAAGGGCAAAAGGTTGAGGGTAGGCTTAAAATTTAGAATTTGGTGGTATTCCTAATTAGTGAAGCAAAGGGTGATCAATCCTCAACACCATAATCAAGTATCACCAAACAAAAAGAGACCAACACCCCCAAGCGTATTCAAAGCTAATAACACAAACATATACACAAAAAGCGTGAGAACGCTTCTCCCAAAGCTTAAATGGAGCATTGTATTCAATGCTCTAAATAGGGAGAAGGATACTCACATCAAAATATTTTTGCATTCTTTTATTTCTTACTTTTTTGTTTTTTATTTCTTTATTAGTCCTTTGTCCTCACCTCTTTTAACTTTGGACGGCTTTTTCAAATTTGCACTTGCTTTGTCCTTGCCTTTTTTTTTTAACTTTGGACGGATTTTTACATTTATTTGTTTGCCATTATTCACACAAATATCACAACACAAACTTGCTTTCAAGAGAACCAAATATCCAAACTCCTCCACCACAAACTCCAACAATAATGATCAATTGCTTCACAAAAACCAAGAATGGAAACGAAAATGAAACAAAAGGCTCAAGATTTAAAGATGTGGCTTGAAAAGAAGGGAAAAGGCTCAAATGGTAAGCAAGTAGGAAAATGTAAACCCTAAAACAAAAGAACAGAATACTATCCTAGAAAAGAAAAATTATCACCCTGAAAAGATGCCTTTGTCCTCCCTAGATGGCTTGGTCTCGTGTTTGAGAATTATGAGTCAAGATTCAAGATTAGGTCCGCAATAGTCAAGGATCCATGCCGCTCATGAAATTTTATGTTGAAGGGGATTGAAAAATAATGAACCTCACATGGATGTAGCAAAAACCCACTATTGGTGTCAATTCGACTATAGGAAGCAACTACCAACTTGCCACAAACAAGTAGAATCCGGTTTCATGGTCCCACTAGTTCTAACTAACTACCTTAGCATGCTTTATCCTAGAATAAACCAAGCACACTCTCAAACTGTGCACACCATTACCATTTAAGAAAAAAAGCATTCAACTATACAAGTCCAAAAGTATTTGTCCAAAGCAAGAACAAAACAAAGACACATTGCAAATTTTCCTTGATAGAAACAAAAATCTTTTTGGAGTTTTTCAGAATAAAGAACATTGAAAAGCCTATACAAAGGTGCATAGCATATATGAATCAATATCCCACCAAACATGAGAGAATACCCTCCCCCAAGCTTGAATGAGACATTACACTCAACATAAATCAAATAATCTATGGGAGGGGAAAACAAGGAGATCAATCCAATCAAACTAACATATGTCCAACCATCATCCACTTGATAAAGAGCAAGGAAGGATATTACCGGATATTAGGTGGGTGTAAATACCCATAAATGACCCAATTAAACCTTTTAAGGCTAATTTCCTCAAGAATTGAACCTTGCCTTCCATATGCTAGCAAAAATAGGAGTCAAACTTCCTTGATTCTTGATCCAAATCGAAGTACCAAAGTATATCAAGTCATATACCTAGAAAAAGGCACACAAACATTTCCATGAGAGAAAATCTATTCTAAAAAGAAAAGAAAATGAAAGCAATAAAACACGGGTTACTTCCCGAGAAAGGCTTGCTTAAGGTCCAAGCTTGACCGCTCTAGGTAATAATAATTCAACGCACGCAAGAGCTTGTCAAATTCACTACTACACATTTCATAGGAGAGTAAGTATGAACATGACAAAATAAAGGCATGCAACAAACTTATTGTACACCTATGGAGTTGAGAAGAAGTATACAAAAAAGAAGAAGGAGAAAAGGGAAAAACAAGAATATAAGAAAAAGGGAGAGAAATAAATGAAAAGGAAGAAGGCATACTCATCTTCTTAGCAAAATATTTTTGGTTGGAAATCCCACCATCATCCTCAAAAGTCATCAAATGAGGCACTTAGGGGACTAAAGGCTCTTCAAGAGGAGGAGATATGAGAAAAG